GCAAGAAGGCCTGCACCAAGAATGTAATGTTCTGAGAAGGAAAAAATCAGCTGAAAAGAGATGAGATGCAAGGTTTGGAAATGCAAGGAATGGAAATAGAAATTAGAATTCTTTTATGAAAATAAATGTATAGTATCAATGTCTCTATTATGAGATTGAACTATAGAACAAGAGAGGTAATTTCTAAACCTATAATTATGCATGCATGTTTTTGACTGTCAAGCTAATAAGGTATAGGAGTATATGAAGCGTCATGGCAAAATTTCTATTCAGAGAAATGGTACAATAGGTTAGGAAGCTGTTCTGAATCATTTATAGACAGGTTTCCTACAGAGGTGACTGATGCCCCATGCCTGTCAGTGTCCAAGACACATTTGATAATGCCTTCAAAAGTAGTTTTTTAACTTTTGGTTAATTCTGAAGTGGACAAGCAGATGGACTAAAAGATTGCTGAAGGTCCTTTTGAACTCTTCCATCCCATCTTATCCCATCCCATTCTTATTATTTTCAAATTGATTTTGCTAGTAACATTTGTTTTGTCATAAAATAATTAGGAGTTTCCACTATAATTAATTAAATGATCATGTTTGCTAGCAACTAAAACAAGTTTATACTGGCACCCTTCCAGTATAAATAAGATGAAATTACACAATCATAGAATATTTTTTGGTTGTACATGACCCCTGAATTGCTATTCTACACCCGTACTGAAAACATCATTAACTTGAAGTTTAGATTAGTTTAATCAACACTTCTGTTCTGAATATCTCCAGGTCTACAAAATCTACCATATCTCTAGGCAATCTGCTTCAAAGCTTAACAAGGAGTCTGGATTTATCTTTGCCAATATAATGGCCTATTTCTAGACTTCCATTTGACAACATCTTTCTCATACTTACGTCCAAACCTGGATGCATAAGCACTCAAAAGTCGGGTTTAATCAATGTTCTCAGTACTCTTGCTGCATAGTAGCCAAGGCTGCACAGAACATGCTTAACCCTCAGTGTCACGAGTGCATGCTATTGCCTCATATGCAACTTGTCATTCATGATAAACCCTCAGTAGCTTTTTGTCAGTGTTGGTCCTTAGAAAATTGGTTCCTCCCAGTTGTTGACTTTCAAATAATCTCTGTGAGATCACTTCTCTAGTTTGTTGAGATCCCTCTGAATGACAGCCTTATTGTCCATCATATTGACTGCTCCCTCCAATTTGTTGTCAACCACGAACTTGTTGACAGCATGTTCCTTCCTGTATAATTGCTAGGCATCAAATCACAGCGCTACCTATTTTCTGGTCTCAGAAATATACTGTGATCCCAGGTAATGTAAAGCAAAAGAGTTTTTTAAGGCATACTTCACAAGTGACTGGTGTAGAAGTTTTGTGATTATGTGGAAAACATGAATTTAAACAGAAAAATAGCAACATTTATATAAGTACTTGCAATGGCAGGCCAGTAATCTCTTCAGAGGGATTGTGGATAAAAACAGTCAATGTGCACACAAATGCTCTTCTGATCCAGTGGTATTTTTACCTCTTCTCATCTTACCTAACGTACAAGGAAATGCCAAATCAGGCTACAATGTGTGCTTTAATATTAGTGCACAGAGCAATCTGTTAATCTTTATCCAATACTGGGTGAAAGTATAATTTACAGAAGTATCCTTCTCTCTTTGATTTTTACGCCTATGGAATTGATATAAAGAAGCCATAGCATGAACAGGAACTTGGCCCACAATGTCTTTACTCCCATGGAAAAATCAATGGGCAAGATTTCTTCTTGGTAAAAACATCATCAATCTGAAGACATCTCAGCAGCCAGCTGAATTTATTTGCATCACCAGAGATTAAGATCAAGCATTACTACAACTGGAGGTTTCAATCATTAGCAGCAACCTTTTGTATCTGGCGTTCCAATTGACTTCGAATTTCACATGCAAGGAGCAAACTCATTTATGAGTATTTCATCTCATCCAGCACAAGAAGCAGGAGGAAATAAAATACAAACAGCCAAACTCCTTCTTGGAAGAATGTGCACACGATAAGTGTGCCGTTCCATCTGGTCACCATTTGAATTTTTAATACCTGTGACACTGAGTCACCTGGTCCTATCAGGAAACAGAACAGCTATAAATCATGCTCCAGTGAAGAGCTCCAGCCACTTCCACAACCACCTGCAGAAGGACAGACGAGACTTCCAATCTTCCTGGAAGCGAAAGGTAAGATTTATAATTTGTTTGCTTAAATTACTGCAATTCTAATAATACATTATTACAGTGCAAGCAATGCAATCATCAGAAAGATTCTGATCTCTTCAACAGTTTAGGACAGCCACAGAAAAGGATTTTATTTGGTGAAAAGTGAGGATTCGGTAGTCAATGCTCTCATGCAAAGTGGAAAACAAAAGAGACAAAAAAGATGAACAAACACAGTAGATGTAGCAATCATTGCTCATTTTTAGACTGGGGAAAATTTGTACGAATTACCGCTCCTGTACAAGGTGTCAGACAGTCATATAAACACAGAATATCCTGATTTGAAGGGGACCTGCAGCAATCACAAAGGCCAACTCTTGGCTTCACGCTGGGCAAGCTAATTCTTATTCTGTATCTCTCAGAGTGCTGTTTAAATGCTTAATGGGCATCAGTGGCTTTAGGGCTGTGATCACCATCCCAGGGCCTTTTTTCTAGCACCCTCTGAGTGAAGTACATTTTACTAAAGCCAATGTGAACTTCCCACACTTCAACTTTGAGCCATTGCCTCACATCCACTGACCAGTCACCAGTAAGATTCTGTGCAGCAATGCCCTTCAACTGAAATGGCAGCTCACGTTAGTCCACTTCAGGTCTTTCCTAACAATAATAACAATGAATGGGCAACTTACTATTTTTTATTATTTTGTAATAGAAATTCAGCTATATGAATAGTTTAGGAAATGGTATACGTATACATATATAGATATTAGAAATGAGCACTAAGAGAAGTGATGGGAAAAACATATCCACACCAGTTTCTTTCAGTGTCAGCTCTCTGCACACAGATGGAGTTTCAGGAAAGTCAGTAAGACTTGGCACATGTCCTGATTTATGTTTGACTGAGGGGAGCAGGGGAGGGGGGTGGAGAGACTGATTTTAGGACCAGTGCCTAGAAATTAATGCAGAGCAATTAAATTTACATCTCTCAAAACTGTAAGCATTTGGTTGAAATCAGTGGGATTGCCAAAAGTATGCTCGTATCTTGGAGCAATACATCCACTGGTTCTTAAAAAGCATTCCAATTGCATTTTTTAAATTGTATCATGTTTTAAATTAACAATTATATTTAATTGCAATTAAATTCATTGAAAATATTACAGAGAATGAATACTTTGGCTATGCATTTAAACTAGCTTCTTCAATTTGTTTGCAAAATAGGCTCACAATTTAAATTAGCGGTTATCTTTTAGTGGAACAAAGAATTTGTATTTGTATGTCATAATTGCAAAAAGGTTGTTTTCTATCTGCTTATCAGCACTTTTTTTACTGAAAAATGTATTTTTGTTTGTAACTTAAGTACATGAAAAAGGTCCCCATCCTTTTAGTTAGGAATGAAGTGAAAAGAATCCTTCTTCATGTTTTTGGGACTATAATCTTGCTGTCGTTCAGCACATAGGTCAGATATACTGCAAAGTTTTGTTAGGGTTCAGAGAAATAAGTGATACAAGAGTATCATAATGCACTTCAAGGAATCATAGGTTATGTCAAAATTAAACAGTGCCGTAAACCAATACAGAAAATAGGAAATCAGTGATTTACGCAGTTAATTTTCAGAATATTTCCCAATCTGGGTTTTGCTCAGATCAGCTAGATTTTTCTCCTTCAGTGCAAGGTAAACAAATCTTGTCATACTATTTGGAAAAGAGCAGTGTTTTCTTACCTAAATGCTCTCCGTGAGCAGGAGCACCTTGCATTTCATACAGAGTGGTTGCCTCAGAGGTTTGACTGGGTATAAAAATATCAACTGGCCTTTCCATAGGGATAAATTAAGACCAGCAGTCCTCAAGACCAAGAAGTTAAGCTAGTAAGACATCTCTGCAACGACATGCCCTTAAATTCCCTTGTAGTTAGAGGTTGGGAAAACTGCCAAAATAAATAGATTCCACTCTAGTCAGTTGCTTTGCCCAAGGTAGCTAGGCAGGAACAGACTAAATGTAGCAGTTACTTATTATTGATTGCAATCAGAAGACAAAAATTTTAAGTAACCTTAATTACACTTCGGATCACTGTAGTGGGATGGAATGAAGGCCTCAACTTTCTAAGTAAATATTCTTGGTCAATCCAAAGCGATTGCTTCATTACTGGAGAAGGTTCCCATATCTCTTGTGAGCCCACACTGCCCATAGATTAAAAATGTGTATATTAATGAATAAATGTAAAGAATAAAAGCTTTCTGAACAACTCTTCCTCAGGAAGACAGTTCTGTTCCAGCTCATGCATGAGTTTGAAGCGCTAATCATTTCAGAAAGGCTTTGACTCCAGCCCTGAATGTAGAGATCTGCACATGGGATGAGTGTTCAATGCCCCTTTCAAGCAATGCAGTCCAGTCTTAACAGGGAACAAGGAGAAGGCAAAGTTTCAGGTTAACACAGGCAAAGAAACAAGCTAAAAAGCAGCTTCCATCCTTGTGCTCCACGATGCAATTTGTAGAACTCTTCCTACAAGAAGGAAGCACGAATATCCTGAATTCAGGTGAAATTATTCAACCAGGATCAGGCCAGGAAGAATGAGACACAAAGAAGATGACTCAAGAGAAATTTTGAAATGCAACACTGCAATAAATTTTATTTAGTTACTGCTAAAAATAGGACAGGGAGAGAAGGAGGAAACAGAAATCATTACCTTGCTGCTAAAAAAAAAAAAGAGAATGCACAAGGGAGAGACCTCACGTATTCAGAATAGTGAAAGGGGAATTATCACAAAGGGGAAAAGATTAATTAATCCTCATTCTTTTTTTTTTTTTCAGAGATGATTCTGCCAGCAATACTCCTGTGTCTTGCAGCTGTGCTGTGTCCATCTGCTGGAGAGGTAGGAGCTGCACTTTGTATAGAGGAAATTGGGATGGGGCCTGAGGGACTCTCGGTATGACTGAATATGGGTTTCTTCCTACACACAATGATTGTATTCAGAAAAAAAATCTGCTAAGATATCTGGGATGTGGAAAGCATTTATCCTTGAAATCTGGCAGATGTTCCAAGCAGCAGACTGCCTGCACTCTGTCACAGACTGTCTATAGGCTCAGTGTTACCGCAGAGTTGGATTAGCGGGAATGGCATGTTCCAGTATCTCCCATTCACTTTCCACAAATCCAACACTCTTCCCATCCAATCTTCACCTTTTTAAAGACAACAGCTCCCTAATGATCTACCTTTCTTATCCCACAGGACCTCAGCTATGTTCCTCTACCTTTACTCACAGCCTCATCCTCTCAACAGGTACCACTGATTTCCCCCCAGCAGCTAAACAAACTAACATGCTCAGCATCCATCTTGTGGTTTTTCTCAACACAGATTTGGTCTGAAGTTGCTATTTGTGTTTCCAATATACTGATATGCCTAAAGGCTTGACTATATTTTTCCCTTCTATAGCATCTTTACTAAAACTACTACTTTTTTTCTACAAATCTTTCTCTAAAGCTATAAAAGCACTAAAGCTTATCTGAGTACACAAGGAGTGCAAGTGGTGTGCGTGGCTCACACTCATTCCCACTGAGATCACACAAAAGAATAATCAAAATACTGTGGCTGAATGGCGTTTAATGACATATAATTAAAAATATAAATAGAATATGTATTTTAAGTCATAGAATCATAGCACATCCCTAGTTGAGAGGGACCTGTAAGTGTCACCGAGTCCAGCTCCTGCCACCACAGAGGACCACCTAAAAGTCTATATATCATAGAATTATGGAATCATAGAATGGTTAGGTTGGAAGGGACCTTTAAGGTTATCTAGTTCCAACCCCCTGCTTTAGATTGAGAGTGTTGTCCAGATGCTTCTTGAACTCCAGCAGCTCAGTGTTGTGTCTAGAAGAACTATTAAAAAATAGAAAAATTATATTCAATGTGATTGGATCATAATGATCTATGGAAATATATACATAAAATTAAGATTCTTAAGATTTTTAGCACTGCTTTTATACTGCTAAAAATGTCATCATTAATAAATGCATTGTGGAGATGCATCTTTGTATATGGGCTCTGTTTTCTAATCATCTCACCAAGTTAAGCAGAGCTGAGTATGAGGTGCAATATGACAGAAATAGCAGTAACAGCAAATACATGAGAAGACATAATAGAGAGCAATAGTCTGAAAATAAGATGAGATTTTTAAATTTCTTCACTCCATGATGCCCTCAGAAGACTACTGAGGATACTGTAATGAGGAAATTGAGTTCTTTATAGAGTTCTTTCTTAATCAGAAAAGGCATTAGGAAGTTTTAAAATTACAGCCACCAATTACAGCAGGAGTGAGAGAAAATGTCTGACATGAAAAATAATGACAAACAAGTTGTGGTGCAGTGGGGTCTCCAGATAGAGGTGGGTAGTGATCCTGTAGTCAAACAACAAGTTCATTCAGCAGAACAAAACACCAATAGGCTCAATTAAAATGCTGAAGAGGAAGAACACGTCATAGTCATATTCATGCATTTGCCTGGTTTTTAGATCTGGTTTCTCCAAAATATCATAATGGAAATTAGAATAACAATGAATTAGATTTGATTTTGGTGCCAAAATTTGCGCATGGAAGTTGTGAATGCCCCATCCCTGCAGGCATTCAAGGCCAGGCTGGATGTGGCTCTGGGCAACCTCGTCTGCTGGTTGGTGATCTTGCACATAGCAGGGGGTTGGAAGTGGATGAGCACTGTGGGCCTTTGCAATCCAGGCCATTCTATGATTTTATTAAAAGTTTAAGAGTTCAGCAGCACAAGAAGTCTTCCAGGATATTCCAGCCATCCATGGAAGGCTGGCAGATAGCTTCCAGGAGCCAGTGGTATTTTTGTTACCGCTAAGCAGGAGACAAAGCGTGTCACATTATCTATTCCATTACAAAGATCATCTCCTTCAATGACATCACTCCTTTGGTACTTCAGTATTTCCTGGATGGTATTCAGCATTAGTGACATTCACATTATAAATAAATAAATAAATAAATAACTTTGTCTTTCAATTTAGGTACCTGAAGCTTCCCTTGCTCTATCAACCAACAGAACCGATCAACAAAAGTTGATTGTTGACAAACACAATGCCCTCAGGAGAAGAGTCAGCCCTCCTGCCAGTAACATGTTGAGAATGGTAAGCTGCGTGCTGTAAATCTATCTGCAATGAGCAGTGGAGCCTCTGAGAGATCAGAACTGTATGATGGTTCAATTGGTTTTATTTAGCCACAAATACGCCCTCCAAACTCCTCCTAAGGACCTGGCACAGCCGCTACTGTAGGAACGTAAAGTTGTGCAGATGGAAAAATAATTCTGGAAAATGTTGCTGTACATTAACAACAGTCTTTTTTTTTTAATTAGGAAAAATAAAAGGAAAAAAAAGAGCCACAACATTGTTCATTCCTTTCTGATATACTCTTAGATGATATTCACAGTTTCTAGGCATTTCCTGAGGTCACAGTAATTTTGATCAAAAACCCCTCGTCAAAAAGGGGTTGTATACAGTTTCCAAGTTTGGTTCATCCATGAGGGCTCAGTACGTGATTAATGTCTGAATGATTAATAGTCTCTTCTTTCGTTGTTTCTGCTTTCCTGTAGGAATGGAGTCCTCAGGCTGCAGCTAATGCTCATAACTGGGCAAATCGATGTTCTTTAAGTCACAGCCCTCCAAACCAGAGGGATATCGGTAAGTTGAATGCCAGCTGAATAATGTCACTTTTGTCATTAAAGTGAGCAGGTTTGGGGCATGAGATGAGCCAAACCAGCTGATGTAAAAATGCAGTCAAAATATTCCATGCATGTATTTTCAGAGTTGTGGATTCATACCTTCAGCAATGAGACTATATACTTTGCTAAATGCATTTTATAATTTTATAACAGTTTGAATATTCATATATTCATATAATTGTACACTGATATTATTATTTTATGTAACTTTATATAACTTTTTTTTAAATAATTTTATGAAGTAAGGATGAGACTCACTTTCCTAATTTCAAACGTCTGCTAAGTAAAGATATTGCCCTGTATATTAAATATAAGTAAATATAAGAAGGAAATTCTATTAGGATATGTCTCATTTGTCCTAGTTTTTGTGTATAATATAGACTGAATTTGATTGAAGCTGTTAGCTTGTTTTCCAGATGATTAGCTCCAAAAACAAACTTTGAAGCAAGGGATCTTACCCAAGATGCTCATAAGGAGGACTGTGTTAAAAAAAATTATATGATCTGTTATCACTAATTCATTCAATTTTCAAATTTATATGAAATTCCCTACTTCTGAAAAGAAAGGAAATGAGTGCAAAATTATTGCTCTTACTTTTCTCACTAATTCCATTCCTCAAATACTAGTTTCTGTACCAAACATTTCAGATGATTGAAAGCACTGAACTATTCATGAGGTTTTCAGCTTTGATTTTGTTGTAATTTATCTTTAAAATTACTTGACTAAGTATTTAAGATGTCATTGCATGCAGTGTGTTTTTATTGACACAACGGATGAAGGAAATTTCCGGATGTAAATCTGTCCAGTAAGAGAGAAAAATTCAGTCCCATTCCCATCTTGATTGTATCAGTTTTCTTCAATGGATGAAAAAAAAGTAGTGAGAAAATATACTCAAAATATTCACAAAAATAAGAAAATGTTGATCCTTTTTACTGCTGTGGTTTGGGTGTAACTATGAGAGATGCAAGGAGCAAAGGATGAAGGTCCAAAACCCAACAGTGGTGCTGCTGAATGATACAAGACCCATAACTTTTAAATTCTCTGGCAACATACTTTTTCTTATAAATATTTGGGATGCTTATATAAACACTTCATTCACTGGATATTGGTGTTACAACTGTGCTATGCTAGCAATACCTATGATTAGTGCCCAGTGAGGTGGTTGCTGCTGATTTCTGTCTATACTCTGTACAATGTGGACTGACATGCAGTTCCCATGCTTTCTCCTAAAAATAGAATCCATTGGTTCTCACTGAAGTGAACCTCAGATGAAAGCTGATGCACACGCAGGAAAGTTGATCAGGGCACCAGACTTGGAAAAAAAAAAAATAGGTGAAATCACTTGACGCTGTCAACAACTTTCTGTGTGCCAGAAATGAGTTTTAAATTATTGGGATTGTCCTAGTTTTATGGGGCTGTGACTTGCATCATGACTCAGGTTGCCATCCACCTTCCAAATATCAAAATGACAGTCATCAGTCTGTGGTACAGGTGTATCTATAGATATACAGAAGTCTGCCACCAACTGAACTACCAGCCAAACAGGTTGGCCATGCTGCAAACTGGTCAAGTGACAGCATCAGCATTGATTAAAGTTGGTGTCGTGGAACCAGAAAAAAATTCCTGCCATCTCAGTGGGGATGAGAGCCGCCAGGAAAATTACAGCAACTTAGACTGGCTCTTACACATCTGTGTTTTCTGCATTTCTCAGTACTTTTCTCTTTTCAGGTGAACCATGTGGCGAAAATCTCTACATGTCAACTGCCCCTTCCTCGTGGTCAGATTCCATTCAGGCCTGGTACAATGAGGAGAAAGATTTCAAATATGGAACTGGAGCAACAACAGCGAATGCTGTGATTGGCCATTACACTCAGGTAGAAGCAGCTTCTTTGTATTTCATTCTAAAGAAGTAAATATTCCTGTCAGCCAAGAAACATTTATGTTCTCATTATCTCCAAAAGCAGTAAGTACATTAGAGACAAGAGAGTTATACCAATAAAAGAAGATGAAAATCTCTGCAGTAACAGAGTACAAGATTTTATATCACGGTTCAATTATCTTCCTTAACACTTTTAGTTAAACGAAAATTTACTTTATTAAGACAATTTAATTTAGAAGTACAAACATGTGTGATAAATTAATATTATTATTCCAGTTGATCTGGAATGATGGATGAGAGCAGAGAGCTTTTCCAGAGACATGGGACTAATATTTTAATAAATTTTAATAAATAAATTAGCTTAGTTGCAACTGTTTCTTTAATGCATAATTTATTTTAATGATTTTCAAATGTATTTGTTTTTCATTCTCTCATTATTTTTCTTCTTATATCTGCAGTTAGTTTGGTACAGTTCTTACAAAGTTGGATGTGCAGTCGCCTATTGTCCTGAAAGGACATTCAAGTACTTTTATGTGTGCCATTACTGCCCTGCGTACGTATTGATTCTGCTACTAGAACTTCTTATTACATCATCAAAATAATTCAGGAGATGGTGAAATCTGCAACACAAACACTCACAGCTGAGGAAACGGTCTAAGGAGCGTATTAAGAGTATGCACAAAAATATAGCTCGTATAGTTGGATAGTGATAGGACAAGGGGAATGATCTTAAACCGAGACAGGGGAGGTTTATGTTGGATATGAGGAGGAAGTTTTTCAGCCAGAGGGTGGTGAGGCACTGGAACAGGTTGCCCAAGGAGGTTGTGGATGCCCCATCCCTGCAGGCATTCAAGGCCAGGCTGGATGTGGCTCTGGGCAGCCTGGGCTGCTGGTTGGCGACCTGCACACAGCAGGGGGTTGGAACTGGAGGAGCACTGTGGTCCTTTTCAACCCAGGCCAATGAGTCTATGAAAACATAAAACATGTAATGCAGAGAACAATTTTCCGATTCAATTTAATTTGCCCCTAATCCCTAATTCTTACGATAATAAATCACAAAGAAATAATTTCCTCATCCTGCTTGAAATCTTAGTTCACGAAGGCGTATAAATATATATACTATCAATACTATCAATGGCACCAAGAACACCAGTGGGGGCTTTAAAACAGAGTAAGATTTCAGAAACTTTGCCAAAAATTAGTTTTCACATTCATGTTTTAATATACAAAAATTGTTTGATCTATAGTTACAACTGACTGATCATACATTAAAATATGTGTTCATCTATATAATTATATGTTAATCTCAGATATGTTATAGTGAGTTTATCGTTTATATTGGTAATGTTTATGTTTCAGAGGGAATATAATGGGTTCAATTGAAACGCCCTACAAAGAAGGACAACCTTGTGGTGACTGCCCTGATTCTTGTGACAACGGATTATGCAGTAAGTTTCAAGTTTAATTGTGGCCAAGGTAAAACTGTAAAAAATACGTTAGTTTATTTCAATGGGAAGTTTTAAAGTGCTATGATCAAATGCCAACCCAAAAGAAAGGCTATGACTCTCATGCTGTGTAGATTGCTGTATAATTATTATTTATCAGGTTTTTTTTGGAAGAACAATTGTAGTCCCAAACTTCTAGAGGGAGGTGTCCCTGTCTATAGCAGGGGGGTGGAATTGGATGATCCTATAGGTCCCTTCAAACCCAAACCATTCGATGATTCACCGTATCAGGTGCTTTGCCAAAGTGGAACAACTTGAATAGATGAAGACATTCATACAATCCACATACCTCCATTAAAGATGACAATGCCTGGGTCTCCATGTGGAAACTCTCATGTATAAGTCCTGGTGAATAAGGATTCATTGACTGCCATGAGGTCAGAGATACATTTATACCAATGGTAGCACAGAAATCTGAGCTCCACATTTCCTGCTGTTGTCCACCTGTTTTTCCATAGCCAAAGGAAAATGTTCTTCTCTTTGAATCAGTGAAACCAAAGAAGGAGAAAGATTCTTTTCGTTTTCTCCCCTTTAAAACAGTGGTGGCAGATCAGGTAGCAATAGCGACATGCTTGAAGAGGTATCAGCAGGTAGCAAATTTGAGTTTTAAGAACTGCATCAGAAAACAAAAGCAGATGGTCTGAGTCGTTAATATAAGCTAGCTTCTGTTGTGTAATAGGCCTAATTCTCATCATGAGCTGTAGTAGAAAGCAAGAAAGAAGGAGACAGGCTCTACAGCAGGATTTGTTGCGATAGAACAAGGGGAAATGGTTTCAAGCTAAAAGATTTTGGTTGGATATAAGAAAAAAAGTCTTTAAAGTGAGGATGGTCAGGCACTAGAACAGGCTACCTGGTGTTGTGGTTGATGCCCTGACCCTGGAGACTTTCAAGGTGAGGCTGCATCAGTCCCTGGGCTACCTGATCTAGCTGTGGTGATGCTGGGCAATGCAGAGGAGATGGACTAGATGGCCTTCAGAGGTCCCTTCCTGCTCAAAAGATTCTATGATTCCACAATAAAGTTCCAAAATGCTTTGAAAGTTCAGTGACAAACTTTCTAAGAAACAGTTAAGAATACTATAAATATACTGGTCAAAAATTTGGGATTCGGTTGTGGAATAAATAGCAACAAAGAGGAAGAACTGAAGGGTAAAAAAAATGACAATGAAAAGCAGTATTCTGAAAGGAAATATTCTAGTTTCTCATTTCCAATTTATGATTGATTTTGTATACGAATGCATTTTTCAGCCAATCCTTGCAAGTTTCATGATGTTTACTCCAACTGTCCTGAAATGGCAAAGAAATATGGATGTGACCATAGCTTTATCAAGGCAAACTGCCCTGCCTCCTGCAGATGCCAAAATGAAATAATATGATCAACTCTTCCCTTCGCAGACATCCATCTCCTTAAGTAATTTCTTTCACAAAAACAGAATCTACCCTACTTTTCCCATGTATGCAGAAAGACTGAACTCTGTCCAGTGATATTCATAAGGAAGATCTGAAGGTCATGCTTGTATTTGATTCCCATAATGCTGTGGAAGTGTAGTGGAGGTGTTAAATGAAAATTGGCATTTGGGTATTGGACACAGTGATCAGCTTCTCACACCTTTCTTTTCCCAAACTGTTGTCTAAGGAGTTAAATGTCTAACTAATTAAATGTCTGTTCCAGAAAGTTCCATATGTTTCATATGTTCTTGGTGTAGTAATGTAACTAATCTTAACCTGGCAAACTTTGTAAACTATGGTACTGTTAATTGGACAAGAAGATAAATGAGATTACCTGAAAAAATGTAATTCTAAAAAATAAAAGTAAAAATTAGGAGAGCAGAGGACTTCCACTAGCACCATAGTACTGTTCTGTGTTATAATCTGTGTTTTTGCTGACCTACATTCAACTGTAAAATACTCAGTTGCATATATTTGTTAAAAAAAAAAAAAAAAAAAAAGTGTCATTCATCTAAATAAATGATCCTCCTTATGGTATGATTACACTTAGCATAAA